TGTGTGTTTGTGTATATACGGGTGCTTACTGTTATCCTGACAATAATAACAACAATGAACACACATCGTAATCCAGATGTAATATTTGAACAACGTATTTCATATACAATGAAATAAATGAAGCTTCCATTGACCTGACCTCGCTCGTGAAAGGGGTCAAGCTTAAGAAGATAAAAAGCAAACAATAAACGGATTTTGACGTCCATATAATACTCCTTTGGCAAAATCATACAACGAGAAGAGAAAGAAAGAAATGAAAACACGAGAAGGAAGTAAAATAGAGAGGGAACAGGATACAGTGGAAGAGAAAATACGAAAAGAAAAAGAGGAAGAGGGAACGACGAAACAAGGGGTAGAGAAACAATGAGAGGATAAACTAGATAGTTTGCTTAGTTTAATTTCATTTATCTTCACTGTTGTTAGCATTGTTGTAATCGTGATTCTTATTTTTCTCACTGTTGTTATGGTTATCACCAATGTTATCATTATCATCATCATCTCTCTCTCTCTCTTTCCATCCTTCCCCTCTCCCTCCTTTTCCCATCCTCCCTCTCTTCTCTCTCTCTCCTCATCTCTCTCTCTCCCTCTCTCTCTCTCTCTCTCCCACCTTACCCCCTCTCTTCTCTCTCCCCCTCTCTCTCTCTCTCCCTCCTTCCCCTCTCTCCTCTCCCTCTCTCTTTCTCCCCTCTCTCTCTGTCACGTCTCTCTCTCTCTCTCTCTCTCTCTCTCTCTCTCTCTCTCTCTCTTCTCTCTCTCTCTCTCTCTCTCTCTCTCTCTCTCTCCTCTCTCTCTCTCTCTGTTCCCTTTAAAAACGCGTACTGGACGAGTGAACTTCAAGGGATTCGAAACACCATATTGAATTCGGTTCAAAAAAGGTTTCGAACGCGTGGGTGAAGCAGGTTTGGCTTCGGTTTCGTATCCTGGGTCGTTCTGCGGGGAATCTGTATACCTAATTTGTAATGGAGACTGCCCTCGCTTGTGAAATATGAAACGATGTGTTCACCCGTCCATCTCCACTCCCATACACACATATATGTAAGTATTTATGTAACCAAACACACACTGTAAAGAAGTAGAGAGATGTCTTTCATTATGCTTGTACGTATGTTGTATATGCAGACAAAAATATTCTTTATTATTGTTGCTATAAATACGTTTCATTTTCCCTCTCTTTAATATAATGGAAAAAAATATCGTAGACTGATATCAAAGATCTAAAGACCTAAAATAGATATTGAATTTGAAAGGCAGGGTGGGAGGTGATACTATATAAGGAAACAACATTGATAGCAATTTCTATGTATTGATATGAACACGATATGATTTATTTTTATTTTTTGATCGGAAATCTTTGAATTTTTCATCTTTGTGCATTTTTGAAATTATAATTTTACGTTTGGTTTTAGTGTTATATATTTTTTTGTGTATGAGATATGTATTTGAATGATTTATGCATTATGTACTGTGTATACATTATGCATTGTGTTTGTAGTATGTATTATGTACAGAGTATGTATTATGCATGTTATTGGTGTATGCATTATGTATGTGTCAGACATGTGTATTCATTTATGTATTCAGGAATTGATTTTCATCTAATTTTACTCTGAATATCATCTTTTCAATTATTCCCTCTCTTCTCCTTTCTCCCTCCATCCCTCCTACCTTCCCCCTCTCTCTCTTCCTCTCTACCTCCCTCCTTTCCATCCGCCTCTCTCTTCCTCTCTCCTTCCATCCCTCCCCCTCTCTTCTTCTCTCTCCACTTTCTCCCTTTCTCCCCTCCTTCCTTCCCTCCCCCCCTCTCTCCCTTTCAACCTCCTTCCTTCCCTCCCCCTCTCTCTTCCCCTTCCTCTCTCTCACCTTTCCCCCTCCCTCTTTTCCTTCCCTCTCCTCCCCTCCCTCTCTCCTTCCTCCCTCCCCTCCTCTCTCCTTCCCTTCCCTCTTCTCTCCCTCCCCTCCCTCTCTCCTTCCCCCCTTCCCTCCCGCTCGCTCTCTCACTCACTTCAAAGACGGACTTCACGCGCTGGGGGGCTCCTCGACAGCGCCTTCAGGAGTATCGGCAGGAGTTCGAAGACGCCCTTCTCTCACGCACGCCCTGGAGGAGAGAGGAAAGTGGTGCCATTTTAGAGCTTCAGGTGGGAGTGGATTTTCCGGTCATAGTTGTAGCTCTTGGATGTATTTACGTGTGAAATACGCACGCACTGGCACACGTATACCTGAAAGGACACACGTACATACCCTGAAGGAGATTTGTGTTAATATGTATGTATAATATGTACGTGTATATCTACATGCGCACACATACACGCACACTCACACTCACACACACATACATACACACATATACACATACACATACACATACACATACACATACACATACACATACACACTCACTCACTCACTCACTCACTCACTCACATCACTCACACACACACACACACAACACACACACACACACACACACAAACACACACACACACACACACACACACAAACA